CCCCCCCGTCCCCTCCCTGCTCTCTCCCAGCTCAGCCTCCAGTGCGCAGCGACCACCCCCTGGGACCTGTGAGCCTCACTCCTGCGCTGCACGGGGTTCACCGCCCACCTGCTGCGTCCTACCCAGGCCTTCCCTTCCAGACTCCTCTCCAGCTGTGTACTTGATGCTCCTGTTGGGGTGTCTTAGTCATCTCAGATTTCACACTCGTGGGACTTTAAGTCCCCTCACACCTGCTCAGCAAACCAGTCACTGTGGCCCCGCCAAGACCTGGGTGTTGTCCTTGAGGCTTCCCCCCATCCACACCCACCAGCAACCCATCGGCTCTGCTTTTCTGTTAGACCAGGCCTGACACTTCTCATCCCTGCAGGCCCAGCTTGCTCCAGGGACCCTCCTGCTCCATCTTCCTTCCCTGCAGCCTGTTTATTATGTGAACACAATGACCTTTGAAAGACTGGTCAGGTCACCTTCCTGGCTCCAAGTCCCCCCGCCCCCCGCCGCACCTCCTGGTTCAGGTGGAGGCTGGCAGCTCCTGGGTGGCCTGCAAGGCCCTCCATGGCCCAGCCTGGCTCTGCCACCTTTGTGAGCCCAGTTCCAGCACCCGGCCCTCTGCAGGCACCCCGGTGCTTGCTGTCCCATCAGAGGCCAACCCTTCTTACCTCTGGGCCTTGACTGATGTCCTTTCCTCTGCCAGATACTCTTCTCTGAGATGGCCTGCCCTCGCCCCCTCTAGTTCCCTGCACATGTCACTCAGTGGAGAAGGTGGTCTTCCTTGACCACCGTTGTCTGTCACCACCATCCTGCGTGTCCTGCTCACTGCTCGGGGCACGTGTCTGGCAGCTCCAGATGCTTGTGTGCAGTGACCGCCCTCCCCTCTGAGAGCCGGTTCACTGCCATTCTCCCGGCCCCAGGTTGATTGTGGAGCAGATGAGTGTGAGGGTCTCCTTGGGCTGGTCCCGCCTGCTCTGAGCTTCCCTTCATCCCTCTGCCCAGGGCCTTTGCTGTGTCCCTTCTCTCTTTTTTTGGTTAATCCTCACCTGAGGATATTTTTTCCATCAATTTTTGGAGAGAGAGAGAAACACCGATGTGAGAGAGACATTGACCAGTTGTCTCCCACATACGCCCCATCCAGGGCCAGGGATCTAACCTGCAACCCATGTACATGCCTTGCCCTTGACCAGGAATCAAACCCACAACCCTTTGGTGTGCAGGCTGATGCTCCAACCACTGAGCTACACCGGCCGGGCTGTGTCCCTTCTTGATGGCCCTGCCTCCACTGCCCTCAGTGTCCAGCTCAGGTACCTTTCTCTTTTTATCCTGCTAGTTTACGCTTCCCTGAATTCCTGTACCAGGGACAGTGGGTGTCATAGCAACTGTATCCAACCTGCAGGAGTCCCTCTGAATGGCCAGATGAGTCTTTGTACTTTTGAGCATTTGTCTGCGCTAGCCTGTTGTCTCTCTTGGAGATGCCACCGATGATTTGGGGGTTCCTGCAGTGCAGAGGGTAGGGGGTGAGCTGTCGGAAAAGCTGCCAGGGCTCCATGTAAGGCTGCTGCTGACAGTGCCAGGAGCAGCGCCTGGGGACACCTTGGGTGCCTAATAAATCACAAGTAACATCACTGGTGTTTTTCTGTTGGATGATGTGAGGATGGTGTAGTGATGACAGGTTCTCATTCCTTTGGCTGTAGCTGTTTGTCTCTAGTTTGCAGTAACTGACAGCTTTTTAGTTTCTGGATGATTTAAAGAGGTAAAAGTAGTGTGTGCAGCTGGATGATTTAAAGAGGTAAAAGTAGTGTGTGCAGAACAGAGGCACAGGGTGCAGGTCCCGTGCTCCGAGTTAAGAGGGAACCATTGTTCTGTCGGTTGTAAATCTTTCTGGGTTACTGTCTCTTAATGTGCTTTTAAGATATTAGAGTCGTCGATTTGTCACAAAACCTGCTGTCAGCATGGGATGAAGTCACAGAAATTGCTGATCAGCTCAGACACCTGGAAGTCCTTGATCTCAGGTAGGAACTCTTCGCACCTAATTTGTTACCTGATCTAAATGCCTCGCTCCCTCCCAGCATCTCTGTGGGAAGGGTGCCTAGTTAAATTTACCTAGTTTATTCTAAATTTTTCTTTAGCCTCTTTCATATTTGCTTCTTACAGTTTTTCAGTGGTCCCATGAGGTGCTTCATTAATTGGGGATGTGTGTTACTTTTGATGGGTGGGGCTGGGGTAGGTGATGCACTAAGTGAGCCTGACCATGAACCGTGGCCCGTTGGGGTTGCTGCTATTTAACTGGGGAGTAGAGGTGATAGCAAAAGTGCTACTTCATTCGGAAGCTTCTGGCATAAGTGCTGTAGGAATAATTCCATTGGAATCATTTCAGTTCTGATAAGGATTTGTCACTAGTCTATGTGACATAGGTTAGTTTTAGTAATGTCAGTTTCCCAGGCCTTTTCCATATTTGATTAGTTTTAATCTCAGAACCTAAGGGCAGACTGTTTAAAGTAGCAAAGTTTTAGCCCACGATCGAGCCTGTGGGTGAGACCTGAGAGTGGGCGCCGGCTTCCCAGTGTCCAGAGCGCTCCTTGGGAAGCTGGATGCTGCCCTGCAGATGCCTGGGCCTGTTTCAGGAGACCCGACGCCTCACCCACCTGCCCCGACCCCGGGAAACATCTTTGCATGTCAGATACCAAAAAGTTGTATATCGTAAAACATTAAAAATTAGGTAATCTGGACTCACTTTTGTTTGATAGAATTTTAAGGTTGAAACAGTCCAGACTGCTTGCTGAATCCGTTGCTGCCTGCAGGGATGCCTCAGTTGGGCCCACTGCACAGCAGCGAGCTCGTCGCATCTGCTTTTTCCACACAGTGAAAACAAACTGCGGTTTCCCTCTGAATCACCATCTCCGGCCAGAACGTTTTCCACACTGAAGGTCTTGGTCCTCAGCGGGACAGGAATAAAGTGGGTCGAGGTAATCCTGTCTCTGGTTTATTACCCAGTGATAAGCACTGTTAAGTTATTGGCTTAATAGAGAATCGAAGCATGACTGTGGCCTCGTTTTAATCACCGTTACCCACATAGTAGGATTCTTTAAGCTGCCTACGGAATCGTAGGGGGAGGTAGGATTCTGCGTCTGGGAGTCGATATTCTCGGCTCAGTCTGACCTGCTCTGGTGTCTCCACGAACTGCGGCTGTGCAGTGCGTGCAGGGACTGCGTCCTGAGCTGTCAAAGCTTTAGAGTTAGTGCTCACTGAGCATTCGGCCGTTTTCCCAAAGTGTTCTCAGGGTGGAGAGCAAGCAGTCGGAAGTTCTCACGTCCTGTTCCTGCTAGAAGTTCAGCTCCAGGACCCACTGTTCATTGTGACACCTGGGAGGCTCGAGGTCCTGGCCCGCCCAGCACTTGTCACTGCACTGCTGCTTCCTCAGGGGCCAGCTGCCTTCACACGCCCAGAACATTCCACTGTCAGACAAGTGCAGAGAAGTTGTTCATCTGTGAGATGCCGTCCAAACACCTCCCTTAGAGATGCCGCCTTGAACTTGTGGCTGTCGTCATGCGACTCCTTTCCTAGGGCTCTTCCTGTGACCCCCTCTCCAGGTTTAGGTTTAGCAGTGGAACAGGAAGGGCCCATAGAAAGGCAGGTGGGGAGAGGGCAGTGACGTTCAAGCGAGAACATGAGGAAGTTACTGAGAAATTTTGACTGATTAGTATATATATTTTTTAAAATTTACCTTTATTGTTGAAAGTACTACAGATGTCCCTTTT